TAGAGTGGACAGTGAGTGGACACAGTGTTTAAAAACTCCAGCAGCACTGCTGTGTCTGACCCACACACCACCACCACGTCAGTGTTACTACAGTGCTAAGGACGATCCACCACAGAAATAATACTCTGCTCTGTGGTGGTCCTGACTTAAAGAACAGGGTAAGGGGGGCTACCAAAGTAGGCAGAGAAACAGATGGACTACAGTCTGTACCTGTAGAACTACAAAGTGCCCCATATGGTGAGTGGAGCTGATAAAATGGACAAAGAGTGTGGTTTTAATGTTCTGGTTGATTTGTGTACAAAAATCTCCTCTTTTGTTCACTCCATGGGTTTTCATTGGGGTTTAGGACAGTAGAATGTGATGACTACTGCAAAAGCTTCATTTTATGGTGAGTGAATTGATGTTTGTGTGTATTTGGAGGCATGTTATGGATTTTTGTCCTGCTGGAAGGAGCCACCGCCTAGCCAGTCTTAGGTTCCGGATGTAACATCGCTAACATGAATTACAAAAATTAATATGAAATAAAGCATGGCTCATTTTATATTAAAAATTATTTAGTTATGTCCGACGTGTATCCAGCGCACAACCACATGGCTGCTTTGGAATCAAAAGAAGCAAAAAGAAGAAGCACAAACCTTGGTGCAGGTTTTCATGGTTTAAAGATTAACTGTAGATTAATTTATATCTTGAGTTCAGAAAGAAACCTGCATGAGCCTTACCTGTAAAAGAATAGGTGAAGCACAAGGCTAGGCTAAATGTAACATTGCTGTGGCCTATGCCTAAACTCTATTGCTGCACCTTCCCTTAGATTTATACCTGCTGTTTGTTCTTTTGACCACTAGATGGCACTAGTTTTGAAAAGCTTCGGGTAACTCTTTTTAGTACAGTTTACAAGAAAACTGTCCCATCAAATCCCACTTCATTAAAAACTGATGCTTCTGAGAAGGTTTTATTGGTATTGTTGACTCTGCCCTGTTGATTAGTCTGCACCACTGGGTCCCTAAAAACCTCCCTTGGAGATCCATAGGGTGACCACTGTAGATTTACAGACGTTGGGTAAGGTGCCACTTGGAGATTTGTAGGATATCACAATGCCTCAAACAGGAGAGGAAATTTGACTTCCTAGAAACAGGGCACTCACTGTGTTTTGGTCACAACAGACTACTTGCTAATGCTGATTCTTTCTCTACAATTTCTCAATTCAAGGCTAGAACATTGTGAAATGTTCAGAAAACATATTAATCAGGTGATGCAATTATTCTTATAAAAAGCATCCAGGAAAAGCCTAGTCTTTTATGAGGATGGGTTGAGGCTCGCCACGTCAGCAAAAAATCGAACAGTTTAAAAAATAACATTCCTCAGCCAGGGAAGGAAAGGATTTTAGGTATTTCACTCTACCATGCATGATATCACCAAAAGATGGAGGAAATCTGAAGAAATCCCTGTGTGTAAATGAAAAGGCTGAAGACCATGAATTAACGCCCATGACCTTTAACCTTACAGACAGCACTGCATTAAAAGCGGCATGCTCCTGTGATGGATATCACTATATGGGTCTGGGAATACTTTAAGAAACTGCAGTCAATAAACACCATCTGTTGCTGTATCTGCAAACGCACAGTGGAAGCCATATGTCAACAACGTCTGCCGACTTGTCTGGGCTCGAGCTCATTTGAAATGGACTGATGCACGGTGAAAACGTGTGGTCTAATGGGTCAACCTTTCAGACTGTTTATAGAAATAAATTAGCTGTTGGCCAAAGAAGCAAAGGACCATCCAGATTGTACCAGTGTGAAGTTCAAAAGCCAGGGTCTAACATTATATTAGTGAGTAAGATATTAGTGAGTAATCTGTGAAAGTACCACTGAACTTACTTAGGAGCAAACATGTGCTGCCATTTAAATGACGTCTTTTTCAGAAATTTAAATATGACAATGCCAACCCACATTCTGCTTGTGTTACAACAGCATGGCTGCATCATCAGAGACTGCAGGGCGCTAGTCTGGCCTGTCTGCAGTCCAGAACTGTCTTTCACTGAAAACAGGTATCATATTAACTCAAAATACAACAAAAAGGCCCCATATGGCTGCATAGCTAAAGAATTGTATAACAGAATAATGGCAAAAAATTATGCTTTCAAAACTGGACCAGTTTGTGTCCCTATGTTTAACCTGTTAAACCTTTTTTTGGAACATGTTGCAAGCCTCAAATTTAAAACAAAGTTCATAAAGTAAAACAGAAAATATTGTGTTTTTGTATTTTTTTTTTCCAATGCGATGCAGATCAATCTATTAGCATTTCATATACTGTCTCAAGTTCTTTAAATTTCATTCCAATAATATAAGGGAATCCTCAAGAAGGAGAACGGATACCTGGAAATACTGTAGTCAAAACAAGTTCAGATGCTTCATATATATTTATTTGAAGTCAACCATACATGTTAGCAAATATTGCACTTTCCATTTTAGCATTTCAGTAACATCAACATTGGATTACTTTTACAAAGTAAGTAGGACTGGAAGATCATAATGGTTTTTATAGGTCAGAGTTTAGTCTAACTGTGCCACCCAGACATACATAGAGCTATAGTAATAAATAAATATACACAGTAAATGACAAATACATATAATACAGAATAATTACAAATATTTACAGCTGACTGACATTTGCTCAAACAAGTATCAGGCACGTGTTATTTAACTAAAATTCATCAATTTGACTACCAAATAGGAACCATGGCACAAATTGTTACAGATTTGAACTACTGCTTTGCACAACAACAGTAAAATATTAACAAACCTCCAAAGAAGTGCTGACTTGCTGAAGCTTAATCTTACAAATGGGGAGGTATACAGAGACAAGTTTGGCTTAAAATGTTTCCCATATTCTTGGACATCCTAAGTCCAAAGGCTAGATGAGATACTTTGGACTTAATTAAGCAATTCATTTCTGGCAGTCATTTAAATGATCTATTTACCAGCCTGCGTTTTGTGGACATCAAATATTTTGGTCAAACTAGTAGCAAATTCATTAGAACATGAATGAAGTATGTGACTGGCACGTTATATTCATATCCTTTGGAATGAAAAAGATGAACAATAATATACATATTTTTTTCATCAGACTTTTTTTCATTCCTACTAAAACCTTATTGTCTGCAAGTGATCTTTAAACACTTGTATACAGTTGTAAGCAGAAGTTTGAATACACCCCAGTCACATTATGTTTTTTGATTTTCTAAGTGAAAATAAGTTAAAACATCTACGGAGAACAAATGTAAATACGGCGTTTTCTGCAAGTTTTAGTGCACAGTTTTGATTTATTTGCTGAGTATAACATATTGAAAAAATGTATAAAATGTGCCATACGTTTTATGCAGGTCACATTTTATTTTTTCCCCTTAATATGTTAAATTCAGCAAACACACAGTAATTGTGCACTAAAATGTCATATTTAAGTTTGTTGCTTTTAGATGACGAGAACTCAGTCGTCAGTTTTGGGCACAAATTCTTTGCTATGAACCAATTTGTGAAATGCTTCAAGGATCGTTCACAGGATTCATCAAGCTGAGGCAGTTACATACTGCAATAATTAGCTTAGATCTGCCCTGAGTTCCGGCAGGGTCAGCGTTCTTATTTTCTAAAAGCTAAAACACGAGATAAACTTCTCTGAGGATGCAAATGAGTTTATAAATAGTGTAATAATCTCTAAAAACATGTATACAGCAAGACATGCTCTCACCGATACAACTAACAAATTTAAGGATCTAATCTAGTCAGACTGAAGAATTGAGGGTTTGGATTATCTAGTTATCTTCATAAAGAAGTTATCAAGTTTGGAATGCACTATGTATTAGCATAATAAGCAGTCTAAATGCACTAAATCCAGATTTTTTTTACTTGGAGATATTTGAATGGTGACAAACATTCTGTAGACTACGTTATTGAAAGGTTATGTAAGATTACAGCTGCAGTAGTGAGAAAGAGTGCCACTGCAGAATAGAGCACCATTTCTGGAGAGGTACTGGAGGTGGATGTGGTTGGTTCTGGAAACAAAAAAATAGTTCAGAACTTTGTTACACATTTGATATTGTTGTTTTGTCTAATGCCAGGGTCAAAGATGACAGCATACACTTACCAACAACAAAAACGGTGCCATTTACAAGCAGCAAGGAAGTCTGATTTTGTGTCCAGGCGTCAATCAGGGTTTTGGTTATTTCGATATTGGTAGGCAGTGTTGTGTTGGCAAAGACAAGTGTCGAATTCACAACAACTGATCCTTGACTGTTGGCAAAATTAATGGTTTGAGATTATTAAAAAACAGCATTTAAAAACTGTGTACAGTTTTACAGTTTTAGTACAAATAAATACGTTATACTCACGAAAAGCCATTAATAATGCATCGTCTGAAGTCTGCATATTTTAATGTATATATGGCATTAATCTGATTGAAAGACATACATTTTGTAAGTTGTTTTTTCAGGCAAACCTAAAGTGCAAATGGTAAGTATGATATGTGTACATCCCACCACCCCAAAAACCAACAACAACAGCGTTACATGCTCCTGAATAAAAATTTTTTACCTTAATCTCAATCTCAATGGCCAGGGATATGAAAGCAGGTGATGAGTGGTTTTTCAGATCACTCGTGAAATCCAAAGCCAAACTGAATTTGAGGATCACCACTTTTTCTTCTGCTGTTGGAGGTTGAGTCGGAGGATAAGTTTGCACTGCGGTAGATATTGTTGAGATAGCTGTACCAGGTTTAGGTGTTACTGTTGTTGTTGTTGGGGTTGTTGTAGTCGTTGTAGTCATTGTAGTTGGTGGTCCTGAAAAAACAAAAATGTAAATTCAAAATGTCATCATGCAGCCGATACTGTTCTTTTCTCGAATTATTACTCACTGGTGATCTGTGTAGTTGTTGGGGTTGTTTGTGAGGTCACTGGGTCAGCTGTGCTTTTTGGTTTTGTTGTTGTTGCTTGTGTAGAAGTTAATGTTTGAGTCACTGTTGTTGGCACCCTGGTAGTTGATGTAGACACTGTGTCTGTAGTTGGAGGTGTGGTAGTTGGCAATGTAGATTTGAATGTTGTCGGTGCTACAGAAGATGATTTGAGTGTCGGTGCTACAGAAGATGATTTGAGTGTCGGTGCTACAGAAGATGATTTCAGTGTTGGTGCTACAGAAGATGTTGATGTAGACACTGTGTCGGTAGTTGGGGGTGTGGTAGTTGGCAGTGTAGATTTGAGTGTTGGTGCTACAGAAGATGTTGATGTAGACACTGTGTCGGTAGTTGGGGGTGTGGTAGTTGGCAGTGTAGATTTGAGTGTTGTCGGTGCTACAGAAGATGTTGATGAAGACACTGTGTCGGTAGTTGGGGGTGTGGTAGTTGGCAGTGTAGATTTGAGTGTTGTCGGTGCTACAGAAGATGTTGATGAAGACACTGTGTCGGTAGTTGGGGGTGTGGTAGTTGGCAGTGTAGATTTGAGTGTTGTCGGTGCTACAGAAGATGTTGATGAAGACACTGTGTCGGTAGTTGGGGGTGTGGTAGTTGGCAGTGTAGATTTGAGTGTTGTTGGTGCTACAGAAGATGTTGATGTAGACCCTGTGTCGGTAGTTGGGGGTGTGGTAGTTGGCAGTGTAGATTTGAGTGTTATCGGTGCTACAGAAGATGTTGATGTAGACCCTGTGTCGGTAGTTGGGGGTGTGGTAGTTGGCAATGTAGATTTGAGTGTTGGTGCTACAGAAGATGTTGATGAAGACGCTGTGTCGGTAGTTTGGGGTGTGGTAGTTGGCAATGCAGATATGAGTACTGGTGCTACAGAAGATGTTGATGAAGACACTGTGTCGGTAGTTGGGGGTGTGGTAGTTGGCAATGTAGATTTGAGTGTTGGTGCTACAGAAGATGTTGATGAAGACCCTGTGTCGGTAGTTGGGGGTGTGGTAGTTGGCAATGTAGAGATGAGTATTGGTGCTACAGAAGATGTTGATGAAGACGCTGTGTCGGTAGTTGGGAGTGTGGTAGTTGGCAGTGTAGATTCGAGTGTTGGTGCTACAGAAGATGTTGATGAAGACACTGTGTCGGTAGTTGGGGGTGTGGTAGTTGGCAATGTAGATTTGAGTGTTGGTGCTATAGAAGTTGTTGATGAAGACCCTGTGTTGGTAGTTGGGGGTGTGGTAGTTGGCAGTGTAGATTCGAGTGTTGGTGCTACAGAAGATGTTGATGAAGACCCTGTGTCGGTAGTTGGGGGTGTGGTAGTTGGCAATGTAGATTCGAGTGTTGGTGCTACAGAAGATGTTGATGAAGACGCTGTGTCGGTAGTTTGGGGTGTGGTAGTTGGCAATGCAGATATGAGTACTGGTGCTACAGAAGATGTTGATGAAGACACTGTGTCGGTAGTTGGGGGTGTGGTAGTTGGCAGTGTAGATTTGAGTGTTGTTGGTGCTACAGAAGATGTTGATGTAGACCCTGTGTCGGTAGTTGGGGGTGTGGTAGTTGGCAGTGTAGATTTGAGTGTTATCGGTGCTACAGAAGATGTTGATGTAGACCCTGTGTCGGTAGTTGGGGGTGTAGTAGTTGGCAATGTAGATTTGAGTGTTGGTGCTACAGAAAATGTTGATGAAGACGCTGTGTCGGTAGTTTGGGGTGTGGTAGTTGGCAATGCAGATATGAGTACTGGTGCTACAGAAGATGTTGATGAAGACACTGTGTCGGTAGTTGGGGGTGTGGTAGTTGGCAATGTAGATTTGAGTGTTGGTGCTACAGAAGATGTTGATGAAGACCCTGTGTCGGTAGTTGGGGGTGTGGTAGTTGGCAATGTAGATATGGGTATTGGTGCTACAGAAGATGTTGATGAAGACCCTGTGTCGGTAGTTGGGGGTGTGGTAGTTGGCAATGTAGAGATGAGTATTGGTGCTACAGAAGATGTTGATGAAGACCCTGTGTCGGTAGTTGGGAGTGTGGTAGTTGGCAATGTAGATTCGAGTGTTGGTGCTACAGAAGATGTTGATGAAGACGCTGTGTCGGTAGTTGGGAGTGTGGTAGTTGGCAGTGTAGATTCGAGTGTTGGTGCTACAGAAGATGTTGATGAAGACACTGTGTCGGTAGTTGGGGGTGTGGTAGTTGGCAATGTAGATTTGAGTGTTGGTGCTATAGAAGTTGTTGATGAAGACCCTGTGTTGGTAGTTGGGGGTGTGGTAGTTGGCAGTGTAGATTCGAGTGTTGGTGCTACAGAAGATGTTGATGAAGACCCTGTGTCGGTAGTTGGGGGTGTGGTAGTTGGCAATGTAGATTCGAGTGTTGGTGCTATAGAAGTTGTTGATGAAGACCCTGTGTTGGTAGTTGGGGGTGTGGTAGTTGGCAGTGTAGATTCGAGTGTTGGTGCTACAGAAAATGTTGAAGACACTGTGTCTGTAGTTGGTAGTGTGGTAGTTGGCAGTGTAGATTCGAGTGTTGGTGCTACAGATGTTGATGAAGACCCTGTGTCGGCAGTTGGGGGTGTAGTAGTAATTGGCAATGTAGGTTTGAGTGTTGGTGCTACAGAAGATGTTGATGTAGACACTGTGTCGGTAGTTGGGGGTGTGGTAGTTGGCAATGTAGATTTGAGTGTTGGTGCTACAGAAGATGTTGATGTAGACACTGTGTCGGTAGTTGGGGGTGTGGTAGTTGGCAGTGTAGATTTGAGTGTTGTCGGTGCTACAGAAGATGTTGATGTAGACCCTGTGTCGGTAGTTGGGGGTGTGGTAGTTGGCAATGTAGATTCGAGTGTTGGTGCTACAGAAGATGTTGATGTAGACACTGTGTCGGTAGTTGGGGGTGTGGTAGTTGGCAATGTAGATTTGAGTGTTGGTGCTACAGAAGATGTTGATGTAGACACTGTGTCGGTAGTTGGGGGTGTGGTAGTTGGCAGTGTAGATTTGAGTGTTGTCGGTGCTACAGAAGATGTTGATGTAGACCCTGTGTCGGTAGTTGGGGGTGTGGTAGTTGGCAGTGTAGATTTGAGTGTTGTCGGTGCTACAGAAGATGTTGATGTAGACCCTGTGTCGGTAGTTGGGGGTGTGGTAGTTGGCAATGTAGATTTGAGTGTTGGTGCTACAGAAGATGTTGATGTAGATGCTGTGACGGTACCTGGGGGTGTGGTAGTTGGCAATGAAGACTGAGCTGATACTGAAGTTGTAACAGTTGAAGCTGACAGTGTTGAAACACCTGGAGTTGTGGTAGTTTCTGCTGCTGTTGTTGCTTCGCTGGATTGTGTGGTTACCATTGTAGATGTTGATAGTGTCCTTTCTGTTGTAGTTTCTACTGGAGTAGTCGTAATATCGCTTGTTGTTGCAACTGTTGTCAGGATTTGAACAGAAACAGAAAAAACATGCAGTAAATTTGAATCAGCTTTGCACTTTGTGCATATGCCTACTTACTAGCATCCCCGGCTGCAGCGCCAGACCTACTTGGTGGCAAACAGGGTGACAGGTGGCAACTAATGCATAGCTTTATTTAATGCATGCAGGACGGCAGATGCACACACAATGTACTGGTGCTGCTCTTGGCAAGTAGTTGTGCCATGCATTAATCTCATTATCATAAAACTGCTTACACTTTGAATGACACAGTTGTTAAAAAAGTAAAGACATTCTTACTGTATCTGTTTTGTAAGTATACTGTATCAATTCTGCATATATTCTACATATATCCTTGGCATGTTTTTTTCTGGCTTTTTTGCTAGTGGAATTAACAAAGGTCTGGCATTTGTTCAGTTAAAAGAGATCAAGAAGAAGAAGCTACAAATCTTGTTTGTTTTCTAAAGTCCTGATTGTTTAAGGTACAAATTAAAGTTGGTCTGTAGAGACATTTGTTGGTATTTTTTATCATAATTACTTATTTTATAAGCTCAAAACCTGTTAATTTAGCTGACCTCCAAAAAACAACGTCTATTATGTACATTACAGGGCTAAGCACTTATAAACCAAAGTTGACTGACCATATTTTATGATCAGTACACTACTCACCAGTGCCATCTGTAGCAGGTACTATTTGAGTCGTTGTTGGTGACACTGTAACTGATGTATTTGTAGCTGCTGAAGTTTTAGGCGTTGGTGCTGACTCTGTTGTTGATGTTTCTGGTGTTGTCTGAGTAACTGTAGATGGCCTCTCATCTGTTCTAGACTCGATTGTGGTTGTTGTTTCTGCAGGTGCAGCAGTAGTTGATTCTGTGGTTACTCCAACAGTTGTTGATTCTGAACCTACTGTTGACCTTGATAAAAATGTTGATCGTGATGTAAATGTCTCAGTAGTTTCAGTACTAGTTGAAGATGCTGTGGTATCTGGCACTGTAGTAGCTGTTGGAGTTTCAGGTTCTCGTGTAGATAATGTAGTTTGAACTGTTGTGATAGGAAAGAAGTCAACAAGTTTACGTTTTCTGTCATAGTTTAAATATGCCAACGTTTTTTGTCTAGCATATTCATAATGTGCAGTTTATGCAGAATTTTTTAAAATACTAACACTCTTAAAAATATAGCTTCCAACATGGTTCTTTTTTTTTTGGATTTTTGCCCAATTATCTCCCCAATTTAGTCGTCTCCAATTCCACCCGCTAGTTAGGACTCCCCCAGTCACACGATACTATCAACGCTAGGAGGGCGAAGACTAGCACAGGCTTCCTCCGAGACCTGTGAAGCGCCACCGCTTCTTTTCGAGCTGCCGCTCACACAACGTCACTGGACAGCCGAACGCGCTCGGAGGAAAGTGCCAACCGCCAGATCTGTTACGTCAGCTAACAAACACCTGTGCTGACTAGCATCGCGTTGAGTGCTGGGGGAGAAGGAGGGGCCATCCTACCCACCCAGAGAGAGCGAGGCCAATTGTGCTCTCTTGGACTCCTGGCTACGGATGGCTGTAGCATCACCAGGAATCGATCTCGCAATCTCCTGATGATAGGGCCAACGCTAAGACGGTTGAGCCACTCGGGAGCCCAACGCGGTTCTTTTAAAGCTGTAGCATGCAGTTACTTAACGCAGACAATAACGTTGACAATGTGTTTTGAAACAACAGCTATTCTGTTCTATTACTAAGTTGATTCATTATTTTTATGATCACTTGACTACTTACCGGTGCTCTCTATAACAGGTACTGTTTGAGGTGTTGCTGGAGACACTGTAACTGATGTATCTGTAACTGTTAAAGTTGAAGACGTTTGTGCTGACTCTGTTGATGATGTTTCTGTTGTCGTTTGAGTGACTGTAGGTGCACTCTCAACTGTTGTAGACGCCACTGTAGTTGTTGTTTGTGCAGGTAAAGAAGTAGTTGATTCCAGACCTGCTGTTGTTGTCATAAATGTTGTTGGTGCTGTTGATCCGGATGTAGATGTTGCAGGAGTTTCTGTACTTGAAGATGAGGTGGTATCACTCACTGTAGTAGCTGTGGAAGCTTTAGGTCCCTTTGTTGGTGATATTGTTTCAAGTGCTGTGATAGAAAAGAAAGTTTTCTATCATAATTATATGGTTCAGCAATGCCATAGTTTTATATATTTATATATTATATATATACAGTCTTATATATTCACAAATTTACAGCTTATAGAGAAGAACTTTATCTGAATGTTAAAATCTCTGTGGAATATCTTGACTAAACATTTAAAAGGCTTCTTTGGAGTGATGTAGTGGAAGGACCTTTGGTTTCCTAAAGAACCTTTCAAAAGATTGTTTTGTAAAGGAATACTTTGACATTTTTTTCAACCTAATCTCTCTCTGCTACCTCTGTAGCGTACAGTCACTTACCCCCGACAATAATTTAGACACGTTCCCTGTACTTAGCAAAAGAACGGAAAACCTGTTGACTAAAAATATGATGTTTTGAGACAACAGGTTTTCCTGTTTCTAAGTTGATGGACCACTTTTTATGATCACTTTACTTACTTGTGCTGTATGAAACAGGTACTGTTTGAGGTGTTGTTGGTGACACTGTAACCGGCACTGTTCCTGTTGTCGTCTCAGTGACTGTAGATGCACTATCAACTGTTCTAGACTCCATTGTGGTTGTTGTTTGTGCAGGTGCATTAGTAGTTGATTCTGTTGGTGCTGTCATAAATGTTGATCCTGATGCAGATGTATTTCCATCACTTGTTGAAGATGCTGTAGTAGATGGCACTGTAGGAGCTGTTGGAGTCTCAGGTTCTTGTGTAGATGATGTTGTTTGAACTGTTGGAAAAGGAAAGAGGTTTGTTAGATTATGCCTGCTGTCACAAGTACATAGTTTTCTCCTCGCTGTTTTTTAAAAGTACAAATTTACAGAACTGTAGTACTCATTACATTATCTGTACTCTGTGTAGTCATGGCCTCAGGGTAAGGAGGATTCAAAGCTTTTTCTCAAGACCAGGCAAGAACAAGATTCCTTCATTTTCTTAATTCTTGTTAAGATCAAGAGGACCGAGATGAAGGATCAGAAAGTGAGAGTTGGACAAAGTTCAGAGATGGGGTGATGAACTCATATAGTCTTTTATTGCTGTAGTATGATGTAGAATGAATGTAAAATGAACTGTAATTGAAGGATATTTTCTGTCTTTTTTAATATTTTGAAAAAACTTAATCTTGCATCAGTCTCAAGTCTTGCCTGCTTCTGCCTTGACGTCGACTACCACAAGGTCTTGATCCCCATGGTTGTGCATTGTACTTCTATATTGTATTGCAAGGTATTACTCTAACTGATTTTGCTTTGCTTGGTAGATACTGTACCTTATGCAGCACTTAGTTTGCCAAACCTGTTGATGTCGTTCCTGTTTTTGTTGTTGTAGACACTGTGGTTGGTGGTATCACAGAGGTAATCTTTGCCAAAGGTGTCTGTGTCAGCTTTGCAGTTTCAGTTAAGACCAATGTTTCCTATGACAGTGTAGCTGTTTGGACTTTTGACTTTTTTTTTTTAAACCTAATCTCTCCCTGCTACCTCTGTAGCATACAGTCACTTACCACCGACAATAATTTAGACACGTTCCCTGTACTTAGCAAAAGAACGGAAAACCTGTTGACTAAAAATATGATGTTTTGAGACAACAGGTTTTCCTGTTTCTAAATTGATGGACCACTTTTTATGATCACTTTACTTACTTGTGCTGTATGAAACAGGTACTGTTTGAGGTGTTGTTGGTGACACTGTAACCGGCACTGTTCCTGTTGTCGTCTCAGTGACTGTAGATGCACTATCAACTGTTCTAGACTCCATTGTGGTTGTTGTTTGTGCAGGTGCATTAGTAGTTGATTCTGTTGGTGCTGTCATAAATGTTGATCCTGATGCAGATGTATTTCCATCACTTGTTGAAGATGCTGTAGTAGATGGCACTGTAGGAGCTGTTGGAGTCTCAGGTTCTTGTGTAGATGATGTTGTTTGAACTGTTGGAAAAGGAAAGAAGTTTGTTAGATTATGCCTGCTGTCACAAGTACATAGTTTTCTCCTCGCTGTTTTTTAAAAGTACAAATTTACAGAACTGTAGTACTCATTACATTATCTGTACTCTGTGTAGTCATGGCCTCAGGGTAAGGAGGATTCAAAGCTTTTTCTCAAGACCAGGCAAGCACAAGATTCCTTCATTTTCTTAATTCTCGTTAAGTTCAAGAGGACCGAGATGAAGGATCAGAAAGTGAGAGTTGGACAAAGTTCAGAGATGGGGTGATGAACTTATAGTCTTTTATTGATGTAGTGTGATGTAGAATGAATGTAAAATGAACTGCAATTGAAGGATATTTTCTGTCTTTTTTAATATTTTGAAAAAACTCAATCTGGCATCAGCCTCAAGTCTTGCCTGCTTCTGCCTTGACGTCGACTACCACAAGGTCTTGCTCCCCATGGTTGTGCATTGTACTTCTATATTGTATTGCAAGGTATTACTCTAACTGATTTTGCTTTGCTTGGTAGATACTGTACCTTATGCAGCACTTAGTTTGCCAAACCTGTTGATGCTGTCAAGGTCGTTCCTGTTTTTGTTGTTGTAGACACTGTGGTTGGTGGTATCACAGAGGTAATCTTTGCCAAAGGTTTCTGTGTCAGCTTTGTAATTTCAGTTAAGACCGATGTTTCCTATGACAGTGTAGCTGTTTGGACTTCTGACTAACCTAATCTCTCTCTGCTACCTCTGTAGTGTACAGTCACTTACCACAGACAATAATTTAGACACGTTCCCTGTACTTAGCAAAAGAACGGAAAACCTGTTGACTAAAAATATGTTTTAAGACAACAGGTTTTCCTGTTTCTAAATTGATGGACCACTTTTTATGATCACTTTACTTACTTGTGCTGTATGAAACAGGTACTGTTTGAGGTGTTGTTGGTGACACTGTAACCGGCACTGTTTCTGTTGTTGTCTCAGTGACTGTAGATGCACTATCAACTGTTCTAGACTCCATTGTGGTGGTTGTTTGTGCAGGTGCATTAGTAGTTGATTCTGTTGGTGCTGTCATAAATGTTGATCCTGATGCAGATGTATTTCCATCACTTGTTGAAGATGCTGTAGTAGATGGCACTGTAGGAGCTGTTGGAGTCTCAGGTTCTTGTGTAGATGATGTTGTTTGAACTGTTGGAAAAGGAAAGAAGTTTGTTAGATTATGCCTGCTGTCACAAGTACATAGTTTTCTCCTCGCTGTTTTTTAAAAGTACAAATTTACAGAACTGTAGTACTCATTACATTATCTGTACTCTGTGTAGTCATGGCCTCAGGGTAAGGAGGATTCAAAGCTTTTTCTCAAGACCAGGCAAGAACAAGATTCCTTCATTTTCTTAATTCTTGTTAAGATCAAGAGGACCGAGATGAAGGATCAGAAAGTGAGAGTTGGACAAAGTTCAGAGATGGGGTGATGAACTCATATAGTCTTTTATTGCTGTAGTATGATGTAGAATGAATGTAAAATGAACTGTAATTGAAGGATATTTTCTGTCTTTTTTAATATTTTGAAAAAACTTAATCTGGCATCAGCCTCAAGTCTAGCCTGCTTCTGCCTTGACGTCGACTACCACAAGGTCTTGATCCCCATGGTTGTGCATTGTACTTCTATATTGTATTGCAAGGTATTACTCTAACTGATTTTGCTTTGCTTGGTAGATAATGTACCTTATGCAGCACTTAGTTTGCCAAACCTGTTGATGTCGTTCCTGTTTTTGTTGTTGTAGACACTGTGGTTGGTGGTATCACAGAGGTAATCTTTGCCAAAGGTGTCTGTGTCAGCTTTGTAGTTTCAGTTAAGACCGATGTTTCCTATGACAGTGTAGCTGTTTGGACTTTTGACTTTTTTTTTAACCTAATCTCTCTCTGCTACCTCTGTAGCATACAGTCACTTACCACAGACAATAATTTAGACACGTTCCCTGTACTTAGCAAAAGAACGGAAAACCTGTTGACTAAAAGTATGATGTTTTAAGACAACAGGTTTTCCTGTTTCTAAATTGATGGACCACTTTTTATGATCACTTTACTTACTTGTGCTGTATGAAACAGGTACTGTTTGAGGTGTTGTTGGTGACACTGTAACCGGCACTGTTTCTGTTGTTGTCTCAGTGACTGTAGATGCACTATCAACTGTTCTAGACTCCATTGTGGTGGTTGTTTGTGCAGGTGCATTAGTAGTTGATTCTGTTGGTGCTGTCATAAATGTTGATCCTGATGCAGATGTATTTCCATCACTTGTTGAAGATGCTGTAGTAGATGGCACTGTAGGAGCTGTTGGAGTCTCAGGTTCTTGTGTAGATGATGTTGTTTGAACTGTTGGAAAAGGAAAGAAGTTTGTTAGATTATGCCTGCTGTCACAAGTACATAGTTTTCTCCTCGCTGTTTTTTAAAAGTACAAATTTACAGAACTGTAGTACTCATTACATTATCTGTACTCTGTGTAGTCATGGCCTCAGGGTAAGGAGGATTCAAAGCTTTTTCTCAAGACCAGGCAAGAACAAGATTCCTTCATTTTCTTAATTCTTGTTAAGATCAAGAGGACCAAGATGAAGGATCAGAAAGTGAGAGTTGGACAAAGTTCAGAGATGGGGTGATGAACTCATATAGTCTTTTATTGCTGTAGTATGATGTAGAATGAATGTAAAATGAACTGTAATTGAAGGATATTTTCTGTCTTTTTTTAATATTTTGAAAAAACTTAATCTGGCATCAGCCTCAAGTCTAGCCTGCTTCTGCCTTGACGTCGACTACCACAAGGTCTTGATCCCCATGGTTGTGCATTGTACTTCTATATTGTATTGCATTGTATTACTCTACTTGTTTAGCTTTGCTTGGTAGATAATCTACCTTACGCAGCACTTAGTTTGCCAAACCTGTTGATGCTGTCAAGGTCGTTCCTGTTTCTGTTGTAGACACTGTGGTTGGTGGTATCACAGACGTAATCTTTGTCAAAGGTAGCTCTGTCAGCTTCGTAGTTTCAGTTAAGACAGATGTTTCCGGTGACAGTGTAGCTGTTTGGACTGGTGATTGCTCAGATGTCATTCGAGTGGTACTCTCTGCTGTTGTTTGCTGTGTGGTGGTTTCTGTTCGTTGTATTGTGCTTGTTTCTGCCAGCCTGGCAGTAGGTGTTGTGGAATTGGTAACTGCACGCGTAGTTGCTGTAGCCTGTCGCACTTCTGAATGAATATGAGGGAAAAAAGTTGCTTAGTTGTCATGCTACAAATTTTAGAATGAATACGTTCAAACATTTACTCTGTGGATAAGATTTTATACTGTAGCCAAGATGTTTCTATGCAGAATTTAGCAGAATTGCACAATTTATCAACTTGGCCTGAAAGATTAATCCTTTTTTTTATTGGAAAGGCAATTTGAAAGAGAGCAGTTTTCAAATCGCAAGAGCTGCAATTTTAGTTATATACTGCATTATTTACAGTTTAGAATAGGGTTGAGAATAGTTTACCAATCAAAAATTGTACATCTGAACAGATGGGCTACAGTCAGTAGTTGTAAACCTACAAAGGGCATGAGGGATGCACACTGATATCAGCAATGGACAGATTTGAATGATTTTTTTAGATTGGTATTTATTGTACTATGGGAACAGCAGAAAGTTTAGGTAACACTGGTCTACTGTGCTAAAATATCTGAATTATATTCCGGTTACTGCATTTGTAACCCTACAGATCATACATCCTTTTAAACTGGACTTATGCGGATGACTTATAAATTTAACTTAGGACCAAATCCATTTGAAAAGCACTCAGACACTTGGAAACGTGTTTATCAGAGAGGAACCATACCTTCCTCATGTTAAATAGTGACAATACTGCACTCTTCCTCATTGGTTCTGAATCAGCTCTCAATAAAACTGGCTTTGTAACTCTCTCCATTGATGAAATAGTAGTCTCTTTTTCCCCACTGGTTGGAAATCTGTGTCATCCTCGACCGAACGCTCTCATTCAAGGCCCATGGCAGCTCTATTGTTGGAACTTTTGTGCAGTATAACCAAAATTCAACCATTCCTCTCTCAATCTGCTGCTGTATCTCTTGTACATGCTTCCCTCTTTAGTCATCTGAACTACTGTAACTCTCCTCTTGTGGGAATTAATCTTTTTTTCACATTATTATGATTAAATGTTTTTCAATCGCAATTTCAACATTTTATAAATGTTTATAAATTGGCAATGGCAGATCTGTACAAGCAAAATATCGAATAATGGCATTGGCCCACAATTCCCATATGGGTGAATCCCTAAAATGCACTTGTTAAAATGACTAGTAGGTGAAGTTATTAAGGTACCTGTACCAAATACACTGTCAAAGTGTGTTTCTAGTGGGTCAATTGTATAGGCCTCATTTAACCACTTCAGTTCACTAAGAATGAAAAGGCATACCTAAGACAATAAATGGATACCAGTACCTCCTGGAAATGACTTCTGATCCTTTCCTGAAATATAAGTAAATAAAGAATGAAATATATTTGGTATTTACCGAAATACATTTAATGCCCCAGTCAAGTTAAGATTAAAAATATGAGGCAAGGTTATAATCTGTTGTCAAAGGAATGGCAAATTTTTTTATTTTTTTTTTGCAAGTTGAAAAACTAGCAGACATGATCATTCACACCCTCCAGAACTCACACGTTTGTCCACTCACCACATTATTTCCTCACTAAACATGTAAATGTGTATATTAACATGAATTGTACAGCTTCTGTTACCTACCGGGAAGTCGTAGTCTCAGCTTCTCTGCCCACGCTTCTGATATCTAAGATAAGCTGGCCATAACTATCAGGATTTTGTCAGTTCCAACATGAGTGTGTATCTGCACCTCCATTTGAACACTCTTTCATGTCTATTGCGAGCAGTTGCCTTCTCTGTGTGCTGTGACAGAGCCTTTTGAAGTAATGTAGATGCTGGATATTTTTGCACTGTGTTGACTGTTGCAAAGCTTATTATCTGCTGGTTTCATATTAGTTCAGAGTCACAGCACTACTTAATGCTCTAAGTACTTTATTATAATGGATTTCCTCAAATTTCCTGAATATTCCTAAGTTTATTTAGAGAACATGTTTATTTAGCAGTGATGTACAGCGTTTTAAAAAAATACTCTTTTTTAAAACTTTAAAAAGGTGTTACATTTTTGAAGTCTTGAATCTGTTACTTTGCAAGTTCTTGGCTCTCAAAGGTACACTTAGTTTCCTGCTTGTTTTGACAGAAAATTAAAATGAACTAGACTACTTTTAAAACAAATAAATATCATATTCATAATCTTAAAAAAACATGCTAAAAAATATTGCTGTAAATTTTGAGAAATGCCGCAGCTAAATATACATTTTAGTCTTCAGTCACAAAAAGATGTCATCCTGTTGGGTCTGTTTATTACCTAAGCAACCTCTATACGTAAAATCTTTTTATTACCTGAAAACTTCGACGTCTGTTCGGCTGGCGACAGGCCAAGCTTTCGCTGCAGAGTTCTGTAAGAAAAGATCAGAAAGATTGAGATTCTAGTTACATTTCAGGAAGATATTTTGTGTGTCGTAATTAAATTTTTAATTACATTTTTTAACGCCAGTACATTTCTTTGGATCCAGCTTGCACTGCTGGTTTTTGTTGAGGAGGAGTTCTGAGATGAATCTATGTATGAGAGGAGAAAACAAACAACCATTCAACCAACATTTTCAGTGATAATCAAATATTTAGATTGACAGTCTTTCTCATTACCAGTGATCTCTGTTTGATCTGAATCAGAAGCCGTCCCCAGTAGTCCTGGAAAATATGGAAAAAAGTATTATTTGCTTGTGTTTGTATGGTTCTCTGCTTTTATATCGGTTCTTATGAACTGACAGAATGAAAAGTGGCTAATTAGTGACTAATAGGAGTCTTCTTACCTATTAGAATTCCTAGGACTATCAGGGGATCCATTTTTATGATCTTGGATTCCCTGTAAAACGAAATGATATCAATTTAACATGCTATGAATAATTCTAGGGACTGTCAAGAAAGGTTGAATATATAAGATAAGCCCACAAGTCTGTTTAGATCAGCTTATGTATAAATAGCATCCAACCATCAAATAGTGGAGAGTGGAGGAATGTGTGTGTGTGTGTGTGTGTGTGGCAGTACATTCATAACCATTTCATGTAATAACTTTCTGTGAGGAAGCTTGTAGAGGCATAGACGTCTGGTTCCTATCACCACCACTGTGAATAATTCTAAGGCGGTAAGCTTATCTAGAATGATGCATTTCGCATTAAACCACTCTGTATGACTTGTTTGCCTTGAAGGTCTAATTATGCAGAAATTTTGAATAAAGAGAGGGCACTGTATTTTTTGAAAGTGGTGCATATTGTCGCTGTCATAAATATTAAATTAAAAGCTGAACTTTAATGTACATTGACCTAACAAGATTTTATTCCAAGTCGTTTTGAATGATTTAGGTTTGACAGTATGAGAAGCTGTTTTTTAAGCTAGTTGAGACATATTTTAAAAGTAATGCAATCTGTTTTGCTCTTCAGAATCTAATTATAAATAAATAAGAAAATATAACTACCTACAAAATAAAACAGTATGAATCAAAGAAGTAAGGTGCCCATCAAACAGGTACATCATTTATGATTATTATCAGATTTACTTATAATATACAAAGAAATAGATCAATAGTGAATTGTTCCTATTCATTTCAGTGTCACTAAATATTAGCATTAGTTTAAAATGCAATGTTATGAAATATAAGAAAACAGATCAATAAAATGGGAAGCAAGCGTGCCATGAGAGCTATTTACTATCCACTGGTCCATAAACTATCCATAAAGATGCATCAACTACTGTCCTACAGAAGAGCTAAACAGGCTCACTTTCTGGTAAAACATTAAACAGTGCCACACTTGCTCTTGAATAATACTCACAAACAGGCATATTCATACTTACAATTGCATTACAGAGGGAAAAAATAGTTGCACATGAATTATAGGTGATGACAAGGCATAGTTTCATCCCATACCAGCAAGACATGAAAAAAATGAACAAGCAAATAGGACATAAGGCAAAACCGACTGAAATGAGTAAAAGGTATCAGATCTTCTTAAACTGGATACCTCCATCAATCTAGAAGAACAGGTGAGAGTTGATGATTAAAGTGTGTACTGTACCAGCAGTATTAAAATGCTAACACTGGACACAACCTATCCTGAACTGCATATCACCAACTACCAGATTTATACACTCAGATTTAACTCCTGCTTGTTCCACCTACAAAAACCTCACAGCCTAATCATGTCTACCAATTGCTGGACTGTTGATCTTGACTCTAAAAAGACGACTCTAAAACGTGGTGCTTAATCTTGGCTAGATGAGCAAGATGTGCATGAGAATGTTCTCTTCCTGAAGATGCTTACAAAGTCTTGTAGGGTAACAGAATTCCTGTTGCACTGTGGTCATGCAAGATGACCAAGTGAACTTCCCTAAAGTCAC